ACAATGATCTAATTTCTTCTATCTTATTTTGTGTCTGTAGTTCCGACTAGGTTTTCTTTATGGAGGTAAATTCAACAAGTAGATGCTGCCATCTACAGTACAGGTACTGTGACTTTACGTGATTACCGGTACTTTAGATATTTTACAGATAGTACTGTGTTGAGACAATAAACTGCACTCAATGCTGATTTTCCAACAATACTGCATTTTTTACTTTGAAGAAAAAAAAAGAATAAGGAAAAGATTGCTGATAGACTTTTCCCACGTTTGAGCCAAAGAAGTGTAACACTTTTTTTAATATTTTTATTTCACAGTACAAAAAAAGCTTGCACTAAAAAAAATTTAGTTAGCCAATAAATGGTATAATCCTAATTCCATACTTCTACTTTTTATTTTATTTAGATAAAACTTGAAGCCGTGATTGGAAATATGGTACTGCAAATCAACATAAAATCTGTGACTTGTATACTGTTGAAGGTACCCCTGTACACATACCCAACTGTCCCTGATTTCAAGGGACTGTCCCTGATTTGAAAAAAAGTCCCTCTTTCCTCATTTGTCTTTCATTTTGGTCTGATCTATGTAGTTGTGTATAAAATGCATTTATTATTTTAAAAAAGTGTTTCACAGTGCTAAACCTTTCATCCAATCTTTAAATTGTTGCATTTGTAAATTTCAAAAGCCAATATAAAAGAATAGTAATGGTAAAAAAAAAACACTTGTGGGCTTAACAAATTTTTTTTTTTATAATTCTCCTTTAAGGGGGTGTGTCCTATGCCGACATACATTTGCTAATAGGTGTCCCTCGCTCCTATCTCAAAAAGTTGGAAGGTATGCCTGTACAGGCTATCTGGAAAGTGGTTGTTGGACGTAAACTAGTAGGTCGCCGGCGTATAGGGATAATTTGTGGTGCGCGGAAGGAGTATGTATGCCCAGTATAGAGTCGTTAGCTCGTATGGCTCACGTGAGATGTTCCATTACTAAAACAAAGAGAAGAGGCGAAAGGGGACATCTTTGTCTGGTCCCATTTGATATGGGAAGGGACGATGACATCATACCGTTAACCAGGAGAGACCCTGAGGGGCGAGAGTAGAGGACATAATCCAAACCAATCGATCGAACGCCTTCTCGGCGTCAAATGAGAGTAGGCAAGCCTTTGTTTGATGTAAGAGATAAGATGGGTCGTTTTGGAAGTATTATCCCGTGCTTCGTGACCCTGAACAAAGCCGACCTGGTTGTGATGGATCAAGGTTGGTAGAAAAGGGGAGAGACGTTTTGCTAAAATTTTAGCAAAAAGCTTAATGTCCAGGTTAAGTAGAGAAATCGGGTGATAGTTACTGCAATGAGAAGGGTCTTTACACGGCTTGGGGATAACCGAAATGGTAGCAGACAGAAAGGCTGATGAAAGCATATTCGAATCGTTGATGATATTAAACGCTCGGGCCAGAATCGAAGCCAATTGGGCGGCAAATGTTTTGTAAAAGCGAGGGGTGAATCCGTATGGACCCGGGCACTTACCATTTTTCAGGGCCCTAATTGCCCCAAGAACTTCTATAACCGAGAAGGGCTTCTCTAGATCCAAAGCGTCTTGTGCATCAAGGGCAGGTAACGCCGTGTCCACAATATATTGGAACATAGCCGGCAGGTAGGAAATGGGGGGGATATCAGGATTTGCCAACGAGAGAAAGTTGGAGTAAATCTCTGCGAGCATTAGATAGGTCCACCGCAAGCACCGGGTGTAACGTACGTTTGTGGGACGGTTCCAAACGTGCAATAAGCGAAAATAATCGCCGCATCTCCGTCGTACGAGCCTTTTTTAGGCGAGAGCCATGTTTAATGAGAACCCCTCTAAGAACACACTTGAGGGTCTCCCATTGAGTAAGAGGGCCGATAGTGTCCATTGTGTGATCCATAAAGTCCTGGATAGTCTTCTCTATCTCTGCGATACAGAGAGAATCTTTGAGTAGGGTGTCATTTAGGCGCCCCAAAAAACGACGTACAGACGATGGCCTGTCTTGAATCGTAAGATGGATTGGAGCGTGGTCCGACCACAAGAAGTGACCGAGAAAGGATGAAGTTGGGCAATCTAGCGAGGACTGCGAGACAAAGAAATAGTCTATACGACTGTATGATGCATGAGCTGCAGAGTAATAGCTATAGTCTCGCTCTGAAGGATGTTGAATACGCCAAACATCCACTAGGTGTAAGTCATGCAAGCACGACTTAAGTTGAGATAAGGTCAAGAAGGAGAGAGAAGATTTACCTGCTGAAGGTTCCAAATCTGGAGAGAGAGCAACATTGAAGTCCCCTCCGACAATGAGACCGGAACCCCCAAAAGCAGACAGCTAGGAAAGGACCTCCTTAAGAAACAGAGCCTGATCTAGGTTGGGAGCGTAGATGTTTGCAACTGTAAAAACGAAATCTTGGTATTTCAATTTAAGGGAAAGGTAACGACCAGTTGGGTCAATTAAGGAGTCCAAGACCTCCGGGCCGAAGGTATGATGAAAGGCTACCGACACCCCTGCGGATTAGTCTGCGGATTAGTACTATGATACCACTGATTATAGTAATGATTGCGCAGGACTGGGATACCATCGGAGTGAAAATGAGTCTCCTGAAGTAGTAAGATCTGTGTGCCATATTTATGGAAAAGGTAGAGCTTCTGGCTCTGCTTCTCCGGAGTGTTAAAGCCCCTACAATTAATAGAAGAAAATTTTATCGGAGTCATATTTGGTTGTGGGGGAACAAATTGGTAAAAAGTGTGACACCAAAAAAGCTCTGTCGAATCGCCCCCAACCCAGGGGTGGACTGACCATTTGGAAACTCGGGCACTGCCCGAGGGCCTGGGGTCAGTAGGGGCCCCACGAGATGCCCCCTGGTACCTTTTTCATAGGCTTTTTTGAGTTTGGGCAAGGACACAGGGGCCCTATGATCCCCTATTGCCCAGGGGCCCCATGAGTTGTCAGTCCGCCCCTGCCCCAACTCCATAAAGAAGAGAAAAAAAAGGGGGAAGAAGTCGAGAAAAGAAGAACAGGTAAAAAGAGAAAAAAGGAGAAAGAAAAACTACTAGATAGGCGAACTGTCAGAATGACATACAGTGTAATACTACACAATACACTGAAGGCCTAGGTAGGGAACGTCAAAGGCGCATGTATCTGATCCCAACCCAGGCCTCCCACAGGCAAATGGTAACTTGAGGAAGGTCACCCATTAATAAGAGCGACCTCCTCTACAAAACGTATGCAATAATCCCTCAAACAGGCATGAGAAAATAAGCCCCCGTCCCCAACAAATAAAAATGAACAAAGTATGGCAAAGACGGGGTGTAGATAAAACAAACAAGGAAGGGCCTGAAGCCCCTAAGGTAAGGGCCAAAGGCATACCCGCCCATCACGGCAAAACCGCAGTGGCGTTACCCGAGGATTAGCCACAGGCTACAGCTTCAGAACACCCCCAAAAAAATGCAGAAAACCAACAGGCACAAATAAAAGGCACAAATACAAGGTACTGAACCAGCAGAGGTAACTATCAGAATGTGCAGAAACTGTAGAAAGAGGAGTAAAGGAAGAGGCCTCCCAATTCACATAGATAAGGGGTCATCCCTCTGTGATCTGTTGAGAGGAGGATCTGGAACGCTTCTTCTTGCAATTGGACCGCTGCCAAGAAGAGTAGAGAGGGAGGCCTGGGGTCAGACGTTAAAGGGGCCAGTCCGGGAGGGACACTTGGGGCAGCTCGAACACACCAAGAAATGTAGGCTGGTCTCCAAGGGTGCGGAATTGGGCAGATTTACCGTTCTGCGAGGCGTGATGCTGGAACGGGAACCGCCACTGCTAGCGGATATCTTGTAGCATCTGAGTGAGAGGGCGCAGAGCCCTGCACATAGCTAAAGTCTGGCGGGAAAAATAAGGTAGGAGCATCACCAGGATTTCACTAAATAGGATGGTGTCATGCGTGCTGGCCGCACGCATAATGATGTCCTTGACCTTAAAGTAATGGACCCTGCATAGAGTGTCATGGACAAAAGACGGATCAGGATGTCTTGGGCTCATTGTGCGATGTATGCGGTCCAACTCAATGTAGGTGTCTTTAGGTTGCTGGAGTAGTTGATTGAAGATGGTGGTAGCTGCCGTGGCCAAATCTTTAGGTTCAACGGTTTCGGGTATACCCCTCAATGTCATCCTGCTGGTACATGAGCTGTTGGAAAAGAACCGTATGGGAGTTAAGGGTCTCTTCATGAGTTTGTAAAGCATTACACAGACCGTGAGCGGTATTTTCAATCTCTTCCATACGCACACAAATATCTTGTTTAAGATCAGACATTTCCTGCTTGTATGTGCTTTCAATATGTTTCACACATTGCTCAAAATCTGCCTTTGTAGGAAGGGATTTAATGCAGGAGTGCCGGGATTTCATGTAGGACTGCAGATCCCAGCCATCCTCCAAGCAGAGAGATGCTGGGGAGGGGCCGCGGGATCTCTGTGTGCCCTGGGTTTGCTGAGCTAGTTGGAAAGAGTCCCCAGGAGGGGACTGTATCCACGGGGGACGAGGAGGAAAGAGGTACCAGCTCCATCTTGACGGCCGGGGCGCCCGAGACCTCGGGCCCGGATCGGGTGATGAACCGGCTTATACTGCCGCCGGGCCGGCTCCCCGCTGCTCCCCGGGGGTCCAGAGATGGGTTTTCCCCATGTGGGGTGGATTCAGAAGCCCGTGAGGGAGAGAAAATGCCCGTAGTAGAGGACCGGGTCGGGAGCTCATCAGGAACTCTGCTACGGCTCCATGCACCAGGCCACACCCCCCATCTTTCTTTAGTGGTGTTCCTGTTTTTCTCTTTTGCAATAGTTCCAGTCAGAAGCACCTTTGGAAGAACTTCTTGCTGCACATCACCAACTCTGCTTCACCTTTGTGAAAATAGGATACCGTATTTTTCGCTCCATAAGACGCACCTGACCATAAGATGCGCCTAGGTTTTAGAGGAGAAAAACAAGAAAAAAAATATTCTGAACCAATGGACTGCAGACTTAGTACAGGAAGTGATCAGACACTGCGGACATAGTACAGGAGATGACCAGAGACTGCAGACAGTACAAGAGATGACCAAAGACTGCGGACACAGTACAGGAGAAGGACCAGAGACTGCGGACATAGTACAGGAAATGACCAGAGACTGCGGACATAGTACAGGAGATGACCAGTGACTACGGACACAGTACAGGAGATGGACCAGAGACTGCGGACACAGTACAGGAGATGGACCAGAGATTGCGGACACAGTAAAGGAGATGGACCAGAGACTGCGGACACAGTACAGGAGATGGACCAGAGACTGCGGACACAGTACAGGAGATGGACCAGAGACTGCGGACATAGTACAGGAGATGGACCAGAGACTGCGGACACAGAACAGGAAATGACCATAGATGCGCACACAGTACAGGAGATAACAATGAACCAGCAAACACAAATGCTCCTGCGCTTGGGGATGGACTCGATGCAGGCTACAACCACATTAAGAATGTCCTAGAACATGCACACCTTGCTGCCCTCAAATGGACCAGGGGAATCCAAATATACTGAATGAGGAAAGAACAAAGAGAGGGTGCACAGGCCTAGTGCATTACCATAAAATATGTTTAATAAGAAATAAAATAGGTGTTGTACTCACAAACGAGAATAAAGTCAAGGCACATCATAAAAGAACAGCTGGGCCAACACCGCGCTGAGTAACAGTCCGCAATGGGGAGTGTAGACATCCAATAGGCTGACGTGTTTCGAGGACTTGCCTCTTCCTCAGAGCCATTATTAAACATTTTTTATGGTAATGCACTAGGCCTGTGCGCCCTTTCTTTGTTCTTTCCTCATACAGTACAGGAGACCAGAGACTGCGGACATAGTACAGGAGATGACCAGAGACTGCGGACATAGTACAGGAGATGACCAGAGACTGCAGACAGTACAGGAGATGACCAGAGACTGCGGACAGTACAGATGACCAGAGACTGCGGACAGTACAGTTGACCAGAGACTGCGGACAGTACAGGGGATGACCAGAGACTGCGGACAGTACAGGGGATGACCAGAGACTGCAGACAGTACAGGGCATGACCAGACACTGCGGACCTTTAGGGAGGGAGGAGGAGCGGGTACCTGAATTTGACAGGTACCCGCTCCCACTTCCGCGGAGTTCTCCTTTCTATACTGTGGGCACCCGACAGCCGGGTGGCCACTGCGCATGCGCGAGAAGCGCTGCGCTTTGTGAATGGCCCGGCGTCTTTTGGGACCTGTCATGTGTCCCAGAAGACACTGGACCATTCACAAAGCGCAGCGCTTCTCACGCATGCGCAGTGGGCACCCGGCTTTCACAGATGCCGGGGCGGGGAAGAAGCCAGCGCTGGACCGAGGAACAGGTGAGTTCCTGCCACAGAGAAAGCTGAGCTGAGCGGCCGGCCTGGTATTCTGACATGGTGGCAGCGGAAATACCGGACCGGCCGCTTTATATTCGCTCCATAAGACGCACTGACATTTTCCCTCCTTTTTTGGGGGTGAAAAAAGTGTGTCTTATGGAGCGAAAAATACGGTAGTTCCAATTCCACGTACCCTTCTCTCCAAATTGGATAGGATAGGTTAAAGACTGAATCTTTACCTTAATCCATAAATGTAATCTTAACCATGATGTCTTCTCAATGTTATAAGATAATATGGTCCAAGACCTTGCCATAATGACTTTCACTGTAATGCCTGCCACCACAGGGAAAGATCATGGGATTGTTTTAATTGAAAAGAGACTGAATTTTGAGTTGAATGGGGAAATTGAGCCGCATGACTTCAATAAAAAAGGGATGTTCTAGCTAATAAAAGACAAAGGCCCAGTTACCAATCACTTCTCAGAAAGTACAGAATGTCAAATGTGGGGAGAATAGGAACTTGCATATAATTTATATTGTAAAGCGCTGAGCAAACTGTTGGCGCTATATAAATCCTGTATAATAATAATATGGATGCTGTTTTACAATAGTGATAAAACACCTGATTTAGAAAGTGATACTTCTTTGAGATTGGGCTACAGAAACTTGTATTCTCTTCTGATATTGTAGCTGACTGCACACTGTTGTCAGAAATAATGTGTGCAGAATGTCTCCTACCTGCCAGGGATAAGCAGTTACTTCCAACAATGCTAGAGTCAAACCATTACTGTTTCCACCATAAACCATTATCAAATATTGAACAGCAGATGAATTCCCACAGTTTAAATGCGTTAGGAATTTGCTGATATTTTTATAATCTATATGTTGCTTTGATCTTTACAAAAAGGTGTTTTGATAATATATAGTTCATATAATGTTTCATGGAAGGATATCTATTACAACCTAAGAAAAAAAAACTTTAGGATCTGATGAATTATCACTGGAGAACAAAGATGCATAAATTGTCAAAGCCAGTTCAAACTGTTCAGCATAAGTGAATTAAACTAGAATTCCTATTGGTTACCATGGACAACCCCAATTTTGAGTCTCCTTCCTTTTTTTTAGTTTTAATCACTTATACCCTAATGGTAGCCATAAATAGCTCCATTTTGCCCAACTTCCAATGATCTCAAGGCAAGGTTTTGGACATTTAAAGCAATCTTGTGGGGTAGGATGATTATGTGCACTTCTGATGTTGAAACAGTTATTGTACAATGAGATTTTTATGGGTGTTAGAAAATCTCTGTATAATGGGACACTGGACGATTGCAATAGAGGTTGGAAAAAAAAAACTGTAGTTTCTAAAACTCTAAATTATGGGCAGCTGTCTCCCTGTTGGTTTAGACATTAAATACCTGGATAATTTCAAAAAGTGGTGTGCTTTTACTCTATGGGCTAGATACATTTATAGGTATGGCAGAAAGCCCCATTAACAAGTACAGTATTTTCTGGCGTAAAGGACTACTTTTTATACTTAAAAATATACCCAAAAAATTGGGGGTCGTCTTATACGCGGGGTCTAAAATGTGAACCTTGAGTTTGTTTGGATCAAGCTGGCTGGATGTGTGGTAATACTGTACATACAGTATACCACGCTGAGCCAAGCTGGCTCAAAACAAATGTCCCTATGACAGATTAATCTGTCAGCCCGCTGGATGTGCGGTATATACAGTATACTGCGCTGAGCCAAACGGTTTCAAAACGTACCGGTACGTCCCTACTGTAATCAGCCCGCTGGATGCGTGTATGTACGGTAGCTGCGGCTACATACAGTATACACTGGGCCAATCACGGCGAGTGATGTATTCTACTAATGAATACAAAGCCTGCTCGGATTGGCTGAGTCAGAGAGGTGGGCTTATGATGTCACAACCTCAGCTAATCTGAGTAGGCTTTGTATTCATTAATAGAATACATCGCTTGCCGTGATTGGCCCAGTGTATACTGTATGTAGCCGCAGCTACCGTACATACACGCATCCAGCGGGCTGATTACAGTATGGACGTACCGGTACGTTTTGAAACCGCTTGGCTTAGCGCAGTATACTGTATATACCGCACATCCAGCGGTCTGACAGATTAATCTGTCATAAGGACATTTGTTTTGAGCCAGCTTGGCTCAGCGCGGTATACTGTATGTACATTACTGCACATCCAGCGGGCTGTATATATACTGTATACTGTATGTAGCCGAAGCTACCGTATTACCGCACATCCAGCGGTAACCATCTGATTTGGAATTTGATCCATATGATGACTGTCTTACAAATGTATCACAAGATGTCATTCATGAAATTATGATGTCAGAGGATGAACATGAGGATTTTGAAGGATTTTAAGTCATTTCAATTAAAAAATCTGATGTTTTTAAATGGTGTTGCCTCGGAAGGGGGGTAGTCTTATACGGTGAGTATAGCCCAAAACCAATGTTTTAACTGGAAAATTAGGGGGTCGTCTTATACGCCGGAAAATACGGTACATTTTCATTCAAAACGATATTATATGCTACGTCAGCAAACTCTATTCCTAAGTACCATAATTACCATAACATTTCTGGATGTCTTGTAATCATCAGTAATCAAACAATTAACGAGAACTTCAGATTTAATTTTGTAATTTTGCAATACACAAGTTATTGTTGAAAACAAATAAATTATACATTTGTATTGTTGTAAACCAAGGATTGCTCGTGTTATGATTGTTCTGATCCTTGGAATGTTTACTTTGGCTGGCATATACTGTATCTGTTTGTGCTCTGAAACTAGCATCACTAATGGGGGTCAGGAAAAGACAGCACTTCAGTGCTTGATGGGAACCTCATACTGTATATACATATGGATAAGCAAAGCTGTTTTACCCCAAATGAAGGTTGATTACCAGTGTTTTGTTTTTTTAAATTTGCCAATAATCAGTCTGTGTATTGGTACCTTTTAACCAGATTACTTCTTTGCTGCCAGGTACATTTTCCTGGTATCAAACCCTGTCTACATGTGTTCTACTACAGCACTACAGGTAGTTCTGCCCCTTCAAGTGTGCTCCTTAGGTGTTGTTACTTGTGCAATACTTTTTTTCCTGTTTATTTGAAAAATCAATAAAAAAATATTTTAATGAGTTCATGAATACAAATATGTATTTTAAACAAATATTTTCCCATTATACTACTTTTACATGTAATAGAAACAGAAAAACATACATGTTAGCATAGAAATAGAAAGTTACCATGTGAAATGTCCTTCCAACATCACACACTTTAGTCTTCCACATCTTTGCTGACCCTACCTCTGATTAGTTAGTCACTGAGAGAATAAAGATCAAGGATTCAAGCCTACTATTTCAAAGTAAAATCGAAGGGATGAAAGAAATCTCTTATTTTTAATCTATATTAATACTCCCTGTTCAATGGGCCTTCCTTTACTGAATACAAAATGTGAGCCAGGACATTAACACAGCATGTGCTTGTATACATACAGTAAATAAGGTCTTTGTAATTAATGACAAAACAGGATGTTGTTCTAGTTCTGTGGGGAGCAACTCTACTAAATTCCAGTATACTGTCAGGGAACTTGATCCTTGCCTTCTCATTTCACTCTTGTTGGTCTCGTGTCATTACATGACATCTGTAGTTTAAAAAAACGTCACTAACACAAAACATGCTAGGAAAGGACACATCTCTCTCCTAGTCTAGATGTAATTGCAGAGTTCAATTATAGCTCATGCTCTATAACCACGACTGCATCACTTTAGATGACACCTGTCAAGGATAAGGTACTCATAACACCATCATTCATACTGAAACTGGGCTTTAACTCAACCTGTAAAATAAAAATCAAATAACAGGCCACCTGTAAACCTTTCTATTAATTGTGGTTTTGTTCAGACCACTGTAATCTATGCAGGACAGGAGTCCCCACCCGCAGAAGTCCACCCATCAGAATAAGCTGACTGCTGCAGGTGGATCCAAAGATTTGAAAAGGTTTTTGGTTATATACCCTCTCATCATCTTGTCCTCAATCAGGACCACTAAGGATCTAAACCTCCCCCTGAATAGTATGATATTAGATTGAAGATCAGTGAAACAGTTAAGACAGTCATGCGAGAAGACAGAATTGATTGACTTTTCAGAAAATGCAAAGTTAGTATAGAAGAAGCAACTACGGAGGTGAGCAGAGAGTACTGCATACAGCCAATTTAAGATTCATAAAGCATTATAAACTACATTTATTGATTAGTGATGAACAAAAGTACTTGGGTCTCATTTGTTGGCCATTCATCATACTCACAATTTTCAGAAATTGCATTCAAAAACCCCTGAGGTCAACATGCCAATGAAAAAAAAATGGAAAAAGTAGCAATCAACAGAGAGAGGGCCCTCCTTTTTACACAACTTCAAGGTGATAATGGGAAAATGCCAAGACTTTCAATTATATGTTTGGGAAATGCCTTTAACCCTTTCACTGCTGCTACAATACATTGTCAGCAGCATTGGGGGAGTTATACACAATCCCACCTGCTACAAGTCA